CTATGTTGATATGGAATTAGAAAATAGGCAGTCGACCCCACTTCTTTAAGTTGGATAGATCAGGTTTTTTACCTGTCCATAGTTCATAAGGGGTAGAGTCTATTGCCTTAGTTGGAACCCTATTAAGAATACATGCATGTGCTTATTGCTTCTCCCCAAAAGGTCTTGGGTAGATTCGCATGAGCCATCATGGATCTAGTCATTTCTAAGAGAGTTCTATTACGCCTTCCAGCTCTTCCATTTTGTTGACGCGTATAAGGCATAGTGGTATGTCTTTTAATACCATATTCTTGACAATAAGTATTTAAAGTTTTGGGTGTCCCCTATCAGTTCTAAGAACTTTGATGTTCCTACCCAATTGGTTTTCTACTTCCTTTTGATATATTTTAAATTTTTCTAAAGCTTCTGATTTATGGTAGATTAGATAAACATATCCAAATCTAGAAAAATCATCAATAAAAGTGATGAAGTATGACATCCCTCTGTTTTAACGTTGAGGGGTCCACAAATGTCTGAGTGGGCCACATTGAATAACTCATTAGCTCTCTCCCCTTTATTGAATGATTTCCTAGTCATTTTTCCTGAAAAACAGTGATGACAGGTTGGAAATTCTACATTATTTAGATTTGGAATAAGACTTTTCTTTATTAACCTATTTATTTTGTCTTTTCCTTTGTGGCCAAGCCTAAGATGCCAAGTATATGCATCAATAACCATTACACAATCAACATGACCAGAATAAGTTGAAATTTTATTATCAGCTTTCTCATTTACATGAAGAAAGATTAAGTTGTGGTCATCAACCAAGTATCCCCAAACATAAATTTGTCCACGCTTTCCGATTGATACTGTCAATGATCAGAAGTGGACTTCAAAGCCCTTTCTAATGAACAAGGGGACTGATACAATATTTCGTCTCATACAAAGAACAAAATATACATCAGTTAATACAAGGTCGATTGTCCCTACATAAAACCTACAAGTTCTTACACCTAATACGTCAGAATAGGCGTTGTTTCCCATGTAGATGCATTTCTCCCCAACTTTTATTTTTTGAAGTCCTCAAAGAGGCCTTTTGTAGTTGCAATATGCCGATTAGAGCCTGAATCTACCCACCATCCTTTGATGTCGTGGTCTGCCATCAGGCACTCAGAAACCACACAGACAACTTCACCCCTCTTGCTTCCATTTCTACTACTCTTTGAATTTTGCGGGTTTCTATTCTGTAGGCAGAGGTTCTTGAAGTGACCAAGCTGACCACATAAGAAGCATTGTGGCGGTCCTTGTTTAGTTTCTTGGTTGTAAGGCTTAATTCCTCTGTTTTTTTAACCTATTGTTACTCTTATTAAGCTTCCCTTGAAATTTCTGATTGTTATGCTTAGATTGGCTAAATTTGGGAGATCCTTGAGCAAACATGAGCTCACTCTTTTTATCTTTGTTCATGTATTCCTGCTCTAAGGCTAGTTGCATAGGTAGGTCTCCTAATGTAAGAGATTTTAAATTCTACCCAAGTGTAATTGTTACCTTACTTAATGAAGTTGGAAGGCTATTTAAGATAGTGGAAACTTGCATGCGCTCGGGGACTTCATTCCCAGCAATGGCTAAGTCCTTAGCCATAACAAGCATCTTGTTTACATGTTCCCTCCTTCATTTTAAATGAGTTATATTGCTCTAATAGCATTGGAGGTTCGTTTCAGAGGTTAAGTCATATTTAGTTTTTATTGCCTCCAACATTTTCTTAGATGTTTCATAATGTTCGAAAATCTTAATAAGGTCATCTTACATAGAAGTTAACATAGAAGTTTTTGCTATGAGGTCATCTTCTAAAAATATTTCTAACTTTTTCTTTTCTTCTTCAACTGGTTTATCACCAACCACTCATGGATCTTCTCTTAGTACATATATTATTCTATCTTGGATGAGGAGATATTCCATCTTTCTCTTCCACATGCCAAAATTGTTTCCATTCAATTTTTCAACTATAGAAAGTTCAGCCATTACAATTCTACTGGTCATTTGCAAAGTTATGTGTGAGCAACCTAATACTTTCTAAGTTCTAAAGAAGCTAAATAAGCCACCAAAATATTTGTTATGTGGTCAATGCATGTACAGAGAGAGATGCAATTATTTCATAAATACTATCAGTTATTAAGTGATGCCTTAAAAAAAATTTGATGAAATAGACAAGCTTCAAATCAATGAGTAAGCACTACAATTATCAAACATAATTTAAATTCCCTTGTATTTTTATTTATTTGGGGTGCATGAGCAACATCAAGTACGTGTGAGGAATATAAAAATAGAGAAGTAAATAGATGGTACAATAAAATTAATACCCACCAAATTGCCCACCAAAAAAAAATAACCAAATATTTATTTATTTTTTTGTGAAAAAAAAAATATTAGAGAGAGAAAGCGATTCGGAGGTGTTTAGAAAAAAAAAACGAAGGAGAGAATTGCAAATGTCTCGGTTGCCTTTAAGGAAATCCGCAACCATTCTTAGAGAGAGAGAGAGTGAATGGAGGAACAAATGTCTCCTCCGTAATTGGGGCAATCAGCAGCCGTCCTTAGAGAGAAAGCAAACGGAGGGAGAGATGCTGAGGAATTATTTGAAGACGTGGAATGGGCCAAGGCTTGCATTTCAAGTCCAGTTTTCACGTATTGGACACAGTGCACTTTTTTTCATTTTTTTTCTCTCTCCTCTCTCTCTATGGACAAAAGTGCACCTCTTTTCTTCTCTCTCAAAAAATCTCTGTAAAAGAATAAAATAAAAAAATGCCGCCAAAAAAAAATTGGAAGAGTAAACAAGACTCAACCTTTCGAAATAAAAAAAAACAAGAGTAACCCAACAACCCAAAGCTCTACTCTTTGAGATAAACATGAGCTGATCAGTAAAACCAAAAACAAAAGCAACGATTTTCAGCAAAAAATTGATGGAGCAAAATTACAAGTGGAAATATGGTTTTCAGCAAGGTGCAGTTGGCATACGGATGCATCCGTAGGTGTAGAGGTAAGGTGCACCTTCAAATTTTATCATGGTATATATTTTTTAGGTAAAAATGTTCTTAGGATTGTCTCAAAATCTATTTTTATATCTAATTATAAAATTTTAAATTTCAAAAATGGTTAAAATCAAATACACCTATAAACATATGAAAATCTTGAAAATGGACGGTGTAGATAAAATGTTGTAAAATGCACTATTTCTGAGACTTAAAATCTTTTTATTTTTCATAGTCATATATCTCGAGGTCGAGATGATTAGTCAAAGGGTTTTTCAACATTAAAACTAACTTTTTCAATGGATTTTTGAGGGGCATCCGCATTTCTACATTATAAGGTAGCATCCTTATATAAACTTTTTCCTTTCAGCAATTCTAAAATATGGGTTTTTTGAATTGCAGAATTGAATTGGACGCAATATTGAATTCAGATGAGATTTCACCGAACATTAGACGGCTGCACACGTATTGGGAAAAGGCAACTCTGCGGTGAGTTGTGTGAGAGGGATGAGTGCTCGCACAAAACGGGTCGGAGGGATCAGCGAAAACAGATTAAAGGTGAAGGTAACAGACATGTTCCTATAACAAGCTATATGATGAGTATGCACAATTGCGATAGAAGTGATTTGGAATTGATTAACACAAAGGGAGGGCACGATACTTATCCTTTCATTAACACTGTGAACCAAGATAAGATAGCAGCGGGTGATATACTGGAGCATGATTTATACAAAAAAAAAAATTGGGCATAGATTGTAAGATGTACATGTAGAACAACAAATCATATAAGCTCCATCATTAAATAAAAGAATAAACGATAAAGGGAAGATGGAACCTAGACTGCTCTGATACCAGTGTTAGTAAAAAATTGATGGAGCGTGGATGAGACCAAACCCGAGATCAGAGAGGAGGGATGCCGTGAGGCTGGTGATCACATAGCCCGGATTTTAGATCTCTTTACTTTTAGAGAGAGAGAGAAGTGTACACCTTTTTCTTGTTGTATCTTCCTCTCTCTGGCTTCCCATTTTTATAGGAAGAAGAAGGGCTAACAGTTATATTTCTCCAACGGATCTCTGGGAAAAGTCTTCCTTGATCTCAGGGATATTCATCCAATGCATCCATATGAACGTTGGGCCATATAAACGTTGGAGATAATTATGGATAATGAGATTCCTCCACGCCCATAATTGTAGGCTAAATCACATGAGGCCTCATAGCCATACGTGTTAACACATCCAAACCCATCCAATCACATTTTACCAACATGAAACCCGATCATCTAATATGGCCATTTTCATGTAAAAAGCAAACCACACTAAGAGCCTGTAAATATAGTTGCCACAAAACTATAGCTCAAGGCGTCGAGCAACCATGATACCAGTTTTCAGGAGGAGAGATAGACACATTACGATATGACCCTCAAAATCGACTATAAGCTTGAGAATAGATTCAAACCATTTACAACAAATAGCCTCGTAGAAATCACAATTTTTAGTGGCCTGTGTGGGCAAATGCACATAGGCAGAGATCATTGACCATACATACATGGAAAAATTCATGGTCATGTATTTTTACAGATAAAACTTGATAATTCACCTGAAGAAGAAAGGACTAAATCTATTCCAAAAACGCAAAGGCAAAACCCTGCAAATTGTAGTTGTAATTGGAGGTAGCCATCGCCAATTTAACGCTTTCGGAAAGAAAAAGCAAAGTGTATACAAACTATAGCCATTGTCCTAGGAGAGGGACATTGTCCTAGGAGAGGGACGGAATGGCAACGGCTATAGTTTGGTTGCAAAACCCTGCAAACTGTATACACACTTAAACCAATGACAAGACACTCGGAATCAATGGGAAAATCTTTTCTTTCAAAGTGTAGTTGTAATTGGAGGTAGCCATTGCCAAGTTAAATAAAACAGAGAAAGGAAAGGGGGAAGAAAGAAGCTCTCTGTCCAAGAAATATGAAGTATAAATGGCAGAGAATGGAGAGAATAAAACCTCTTGAGCGCAGCAAATGAATGAGGCATCACTGAACCGTCTTCTTCTCTTTATCCATCTGAGAAACCCTGAATCTCCACCAATTTTATCGGCGTCCCCAAATTTATTTTGAGAGACGAGACCTGAAAATCCAGATTTAGAGGAAAGTGGACGTCCGCGGAGTTTAACAGTGTCTGGAAAAGATGAGTTTCTTGTAAATTTAGGAAACGCCAAAAATGGCAAGGTTCTGACCGCCATTTTTTCAGAGTTCGCTTCTTACGCCTCACTGTTTTCCCGTTCCCCCGGTCCCCTCGTCCCTGGCGTTCGAAATGTGCGTATGTACCCTGCCTTTATTTAGGGGATTAACAAAGGCTAAAAGGCTCCGGTGTCGAATCCAAAGGCTAGGACCGTATCGATTACGGCCCGGCCTAACAAAGGCTAAAAGGTCATATACTCCGACTAAAGTACCCAGACAATTATTAGCTCGAATGAATATTCGGATTATTGTCTAATGTCAAAAGTTTAACTAAGTGAAAGCCTCAGTCACATGTAGTAAAAAAATTTCATTAGATTAATAAGAAAGCTAGAATCCACATTTGCTCCAATCCATCAGGGAAATACGTTTTATAAAGCGTAAATTGATATTCAAATTATTGGTTGTTAGACCATTACATGTGATTTGAATCCAATCTTTGTTAGGTAATTTCTCTAATCATGTATTGATATCTTGATGATTCCTTTATATCTAACCATGCCTTTCTCTTTCTAACTCACCTCTCTTTACAATATCATTTTATCTCTTTTTCTCTCTCTAAATCAAGGTTTAAGAAAATGGATTGGTGAACCGGATCGACCACTTCAAAAACCGTGTCGAATCGGTGGATCAGTGACCCGGATTGATGGTTTTAGCTTTAAAAATTTATAAAAATCACAAAAAAAATTCCTAAAAATATTGTTTTTTGAGTTTCAAATAAAGTTTTGGGTGGTTATATTATTTACCTTTATTATTTTACAAAAACACAAGAATATTAAGATGATGTTTCCCTATCTGAAAGTTTGTATCATAATCATTTATAATATAATATTATGATATTATATATGATTTAAAAAATACTAAAAAACACTTCCATATTATAAGATTAAAAAATAATAATACCCCTTATAAAGTGAAATTAGTATCACATTAAACATTTGTTAATTCTCTTTACTCATCCTAAATTATCACAACCTAACCAACTATAGAATTATATACTAAAATTAGAATCATTATTTTATATTTTATAGTTATTCTATTGTACAAATAAGAATAAATTTAAATTGTCTTATAATATTATCTAAATCAAAAATAATCTTATGTACAACTATAAAAAGATAATACATTATGTAATTTAAATATAAATAAAATGTAATATACTTATGGCTCAAAATATGAATTTGTAATCATGTTTTAATAAAAATAAAAAGTAAATAAATAAATTCATGCTTGCATGAGTTGTTTTACCTCAAAACTCAAAACATTTTTGGGACAAACGATCTATATTTCAATATTTACTGCAAAATTTATTCTCCCACCCACACTATGTAATGACCCATATATTTACCTCAAAATTTATTATTCCATCTACCCTACTTAATCACCCATAAATCCCCCATTTAATCACCTTATTTATAAGATCCCCATTTAATCCCTGTATTTAGTCGTCCGTGCCCCATTTAGTCACGCTGTAGACGCCTCATTTAGGCTCACTTCAAATATTTGAGAAGGCAAAGCCTTCATAGAAGGACATACTAAATCCCTACCCGTACGTGTGGCTGCATTGTGGGGCACGCATAGAGGTGTCCCTCATTAATATGCGTGTTGGAGGCCACCTAAAATTGGCCATTTTGAAATTAAAAAATTCGGCAGCTGCCCTTTGATTTACAATAAATTTCGAAAGTGCCACCTAAAAGTGGCCTCCTCATCTAGACTCACTTCGGTTCGGAACCGGATCTAGCCCGACAGATTGGCCGGTATGTGGTAGAATTTTCTGTTCGAGTCAGAACCGGATTTGGGGGCTCCCCTGTTTCACGATATATGAAGAGAATTGGATCTCATTGACGATTCTCGATCCGAATCGTCGAATTTTCAAACCTTGCTCTAAACACATCTTTTCTATCTCTATGTGCTCTTCTTCATAATAAATTAATAAATTTTTATGGGTTGGACGTGTTATTAAAAATACGTTTCTTTGCATGAAGGTATTTTAAAGTAACTTTTGACCATCTTGCGTCAATGTAGTTACCCAACAGTGTAGAGGTTATCTACTTGCTATATATTTTTATTAAAATGTGGTTTTATTTTATTAATTTCAAGTAACTATTGTTTAAAAAAATGCATTATGTAATTTTTGTGGTGCCATTATCTTGTGCTACACAATTAACTTGTGTCAAATTAATTTTAAAAAAATATTAATACTAAGTGAACTACTGCTTAGAGCAATGTAATGTGTTATTTTTGTGGCTGTACTATATTGAGCTACCAACTCAACTTGTATGAAATTTATTTTAAAGAAGTTAACATGACTGTAGAATTTATTTAAAATAAATACATTGTTTCATTATAAAGTTTATATGGAGCACATGTGCTGGATTGTCTGGAAGTTGAAAAATAGAAGTTCTTTATTGTGTAGTCTTGCTAGACTATATTGTAGGTTTATTTTTAATTAGTCTTATTGACACTATGATGTGCTACCTGCTTAATTTAGTTTAATTTTATTGCATACTTTGCACATGATTTAAAAACTCTAAAGAGAAATCAGAAGATTTTCAATAAAATATACTTTTTATATTAATCTTAAGTAAATTACTACTTAGAGTAGTACAATTTGTTACGTTTATAGTGTAGGGTTCTCGGGAACCCCTAGTTTGCGGAATCGGGAATCCCAAACACCAGAATCTCACCCAAGATCGTGTATATGATTAGCTAAATGCAAAGTAGATGAATACAACTATAAATCGAGTGTGAGAAATAAAGCAAACACAAAAAAGGCACACCACAACAATACAAGATTTACGTGGTTCACCCCATAGGGCTACATCCACAGCCTCATCAACTAGAAATCCACTATCACAATGAAGATTATAGTTTTGTGTTACAAGAGATAATACATATCTCTAAACATCGGTAAAAGACCATCACCGATCTTCCTTTCTAAACTCGCTCTCCCGACCGAGCAACATTGTCAATCAACATCATCTTTCCCACGCAATAACGTTACTGAAAAGATAACCTCGAGAGCAACATAAAAATTTTCTCTATCTAGTATTGGAAGTTAACCAACCCAAAACTTATGAGAATACCGCCCCTCTCTCATAGGTCATGTCTCTCTCTCTTGGAGACCCATCTCCATATTGGAGATCCATTCCCATAACCCCCAAAAGGGTGACCCTCAAAAGATAGGTATTATGTCCTCCTTCATTCTCTTGTAAAGATATCACTTTCTTGCTTCCCAAGAAAGTCAATTTTCTATTTCCCATAATGCCTTAATATTTAGAAGAAAATACGGGTATGGTGATTTAACTATCACCAAACCCAACATATAGTGTTACTATTATTTGAAGACATTTTTCAATACCTTGGGTCCCCGATGCGAAATAAAAGAGAAGCTGGTCAATAAAGCCCTGATTTACAGTAGAATCCTGACAGTCTCATAATTTTCCCAAAACAGGCGAAAATATTCCTAAGCACTTCAAAATGCTACCTACCAAATTGCATCGCAATCTGACATGTCTAAAGCAGTGCAAACAAAGAAAATAGTTTTGGAAAAATCGATCTCTAGCACCTTGAAACGGACCCTATAACTGGAACACTATTTTTGGTGCGTAAAATGTCTGTAAGACCACCGCTATTGGATTCGCCCGTGTACCCTCCCTGCACCAATCTCCATTGAAGGAGGCTGGTTTTCACAGTCACGAACAACAACTTTGGGGACTCATATCTCCTTCGTTACAAGTCGGGTCGCACTTAAAATTTGCGAGCGTGTTCGCCTCGTTAAGACAAAAGTTTTGATATGTGACACGTCCCGTGACGATATCCGATCAGAGAGAAAATCTAGAGAAAAGATGACAATTCGTGATCAAGGTTGTAGGAAAATCAGTAGTAGCACAACCCACTCAAGTGATCATATCACGACACTCGCGTACTCGATCGACACGAAACTAACTGCATTATGTGCGTAATGTCCAAGGCTATGTCTGGTTCGAATCCTGCTTGTGATGAACAGTTAGATTTAGTGTATGAAGTTATTGAATTTTCTACAAAATTCTGGCTGCCGGATCCACGTTCCGGCCAAAAACCCAAGATGGTAAAATCTTCGTTCGAGCATGAAATCGAGCCACGTTTGTTGCAACGTGATCATGACGGCATGCTCAGTGCAATTCAGTAAAGAAATCAAAGAAATATATCAAGAAACGAGTACATTATCGATTATAAGTTTCTAATCAAGTTGCATGATCGTGGCGTAAAAACACGATCTGTGGCTCGAAGTTGGTACCAAATTGATTGTCATGTCAAACCCAATGAGAAAGTAATCATCTTTTGGTCAAACAGATGTAGGAGAGACCCCTAATCGGCTTAGAAAAATTGCACACGTTCCATGGGTACTGTAGGGACTATTTTGGAATTTTATATATTGTTGGGCAGGGGCAAAACAATAATTTTTTCTCCATTTTTAGATTTTATTTTAATTCAAATAAACTATAATTATCATCAATTATGTTAGATTTGGGGCATCCACCCATGTTTTGGGCCCAAGTCTATAAATATCACGTTATACCCCAATGTAATGGACTTTCATTTTGATTAATAAAATTGGGAGTTGAGCTTTGAGATTGAGGGTCATGTCCAGGAAAGAGAGAGAGAGAGAGAAGAGATAAGAAATTTTGGTACCCCTAGGTGAAGGTAATTCTCTCTCCTCCCCTCTTCTCTCTCCTCCTCCTTTTTCTCTCTTCTTTCTTTCTCTCTCCTTTCTTTCTCTTTGTCTCTCTCCTCTTCTTCTTCTCCTCTATGTCTCTCTCCTCTACCTCAAACATGCACGATAGTAAACAACACCATGCATGTCTTTCTCTTTTTCTCTCTCTTCTTTTGCTTTCTAACTCTCCTTCGTTTTGCCTCTCTCTTCCCTCTCAACACACACGGCAGTAGGCTACTGTCGTGCGTGTCTTTCTTTCCCTTCTTTCCTTTTTCTCTCTGCTCTCTTTCCTCACTCATCCCCCCTTCTTTCCTAATCCTTTCTCTCTCTTTCCTAATCTTTTTTCTCCCCTCTCCTTCTCTCTTTACTTTCCTTCCT